CGCGCGGCCGGGCCTGGGCCACCGCCATCGGCCGCCTGTCCCCCCAGGTGGAGGTGCTGATCGCCATCTGCAGCCTCACGTCCCCGCTGCTGTTCACAGCCGTGGGGTACCTGACGTTCAGCGTGACGAGACTCTTGGAGGCGCTGGAAGCCTACCCACCGGCCCTCCAGGTGCGTGTCTGTCACCTGAGAGCGCGGAGCTGGGCGCTGCTGCGCGGCTGGAGCGGGCTCTGAGCTCGTGGCGCGTGTGGCCGGGGCTCAGGCGTCTGCACACGTTCCCCAGCTCCTGCCCGCCCTCTGCCCCAGCCCCGTCTGCTCAGGCTGCTGCTGCTTCCCGCCCCTGGGCCAGCCTCCCAGGTCACCGCAGCCCGGCAGCCCACCCAGATAGCGCTGCTCGCCGCTGCCTTGGGCTTCCGTGGCCCCTTGCGCCTCCGTCACAGCTGGGACTCGGCCATCCGCCGAGGGCCCCGCGGGACCTTGTCCTAGGTTGGTGGGCGCGTGGAGGAGGGCTGAGAGCCTTCCGTGTGCAGACGTGGTGGCCACCGGGGTGCCGGCATCTCCCGTAACCTCTGTCCTGCTTCCCACGTTGTTTCCTGGGCCGGTGGGTCTGCCCCTGATGTCTGTCCTGAGAAACCCCAGTCGTGGTGATGAGGTGAAAGGCCAGTGTGGCCTGTGCCTGGCTGATGCGCGTGCCCTTGTGCCCACGGCTGGGCGGAGCGTGCATGGCCCCCATCAGCGCTTGGCAGGGTCCGAAAGCCAGTGTGGACGTTCAACCACGTGACCCCTCACACCTAAGCACTGGCATTTCTGTAAGCAAGGACACCCACACACCTATAGCCCCGTTGTCATACCTGAGGGCTAACGCGGCCTAGTGACGTCCTTGCTGGCCAGTCGACATTCGCGTCTCATGAACCGTCCCGAGAATGTGCTGTGGGGCTGACCCCTCCCGCCCAGGGTCGCACTTGCTCTGGCTGTAAGCCACAGGACAGTCCCCGCCTGGCCCTCGTGCACCAACCCTTCAGAGTCTGAGCCTGCTGTCCGGGAGCCGGTCCCAGCTGTGGGCCTGTTTGCTGTGGTGTCCATGCGAGCGAGTGAGTGGCATCGTGGTTCTGCCCGGCTCAGTGGTGGCCGCCAGCCTGACCCTGAGCGAGGCACTCACGCCCCTCCCAGGGAGGAAGTGACCCTGGTGTCTGTGCCACCTGTTCGGCCACCTCCACCTGGCTCATCTCGACATTGCAGAGTGGAGCAGAGATGCTGGGGCCGCCACGCTGGCCTCCCGCGTGTGTGAGGGGTGTGCACCTTTCGAGCACCCTGAGGCCTGGTGGGCGTCATTATTTGTAGAGTGCTGCAGCTGGTGTTCTCCGAGGCTCAGGGGACCCGCTGCGGCCAACAGAGCCTGGCAGCCTCCTTGCCGGCGCTGGACGCCCCGGCCCCCTCGTCCAGCCCCGGACCCCTCATCCAGCCCTGGGCCCCTTCGTGTGCCTCGGGCCCCCTCGTCCAGCCCCGGCCCCTTGGGCAGTAACCACCTCTAGGAATCCTGACCTGCGGCTCGTGTGCGCGTCCTTCCCGGGCGACGCCGACAGAGGTGGCGAACGCAAACGCGTGAAGGTCTCACGTTTATGCCGGTATTTCTAACTCAGATTTTACGTTCTAGGCGGTTTCCTTGGCTGTCGCACGTTTGCAGCCCTTTCTCTTCAGGAGTCTTGTTTCCTGATAACGTGCGTAGTCACTGCTTTTTCTTGGAAAACACAGGAAGCGCTTTCCTTCCAGCCCCAGTGCCCGGCTGGGCGGGTCCCGCTCGCTGGTCCTGCCCGGCCACCTGCTGCCGGTTTGCCGCAGTCAGGTTCCACGGCTCCTGATTGTACTCAGCGTTAGAGGTTGATGCTTCTTTCCCTTTTCAACAGTATTTATTTGTGAACATGTGAAACCTTGACGTGGTTTCGTACCTGAGCACGCAAGGGCGCACTTAGAGACGCTGTGGTCCGCTGCGGCTCCTGTTCCTCCGACGGCGGCCGCAGCGCCCGTGCTCGCTGTCACTGTCCCCCTTCCTAGGGGCTGTCACTTTCATGGCCCGGCGGCTTCCTTGGACACAGCTACACATTTCCCACCCTGCTTTTTCACTCAGTTCCTCCTGCGTCCCGCCCAGGGATCTGAGCGCTTCTGTCCACTTTAATTACATCACACTCGCCGTGGCCGCCAGTCCCCGGGGAGGGAACCGGCCCCTCCGGTCGGTTGGTCACCCAGCTGGTGAGTCTGGGCCGCGCTGTTGTGGATTCGAGGGGAGAGGCGCCTCTGCCTCTGTCCGATCTCCACGGCCCCTGGGGGTCCCACTTCCCTCCCACCCCGTGGAGGGAGCCGCCGCTCCCTCAGAGCTGGCCCTGAGCGTCGTCACCAAGCTTTAAAGCGTCTCTGAGCCTGAGCCGTGGAGGTGTGCCTTGCCACGTCTGCATTCTTCTCTGGAGAAGCCTGTGCCTCGTGAGGTGACAGGTGACACAGACCAGCAGTGTCCATGTCGATAACCAGGATGGTTCCTAAGTGACTAAAAGGCGGCACTGGGTAGTGAGTTGACGCTGGATGCAGGGACCATTCACCCCCGGAGCGGGATGGTGTGAGGCTTCATCTCGCTCCTCAGAACGGTGGGCAGCGTAAAACTTAGGAATCGTTTATTTCTGGAATTGTCCGTTTAATATTTCCGGACTGCGGCTGACCGCAGGCGGGTAACTGCAGCTGGGGGACTTGAGTGTTTTTACTGGACTCGAGGTTGCCTGTGCATCGACTTAGGGAAAGTCGTCCGTCATTGCTTCTTCGACAGTAGTGTTGGAGGGACTCTGGGGTCTTTGGTCAACGCCCGGCTGCTTTGTATTCCGAGGCGGAGCAGAGGCTGCTGTACGGCAGGAGGGGTGGGTGCTCGGTGACGTCCTGGCAGCGCAGGCGTCGTCTGGGAGAGCGCAGCTCCGTGTCCTTGGCCACCAGCTCCCTTTGCTCAGGGCACTCCT